AAAAAAAGGGAAAAAGTAAAAAAAGGAAAAAATTTTTTTTTTTTTTTTTTTTTTTTTTGTATGTATTAAAAACTACTCTTTTAGTAATATACACTTTTAAACTATCAAATGATTTCATATCGGGAAATTATATACATTTTGATTTTGATATATTTGTTATGTATAATGTTTTTCTTTTTTAAAGGTATAAAATCTAATGTTCAGAAACGTATAATATCAATAAAGATATCTTTATCCGGATCCAAAAACTAATTTTACAACATATTTTGAAATTGTCGGTTAGATGAGCTGGTCAATCAACTTGACAAATTGGCCGGGGGTCCCCAGATTCTTAACTGGTCCTTTTCTCTTGAGCAATTTCCCAAAGTAATGTTTCTTTGCCTCAAAACTTTCCTTACATGAGAGGCATAATGAAGATAAGAGTTCCTAACAAATTGCTATAGCATTCATAGAATAAAAAAATAAGAAAATTTTCTCGTAGATACCGAAAAAATAAATTGCCAACAAAAATTTTATTTTCAACCGTCATATTCTTATAAAAATGATCTGTTCTGCATTTTAATCCGATATGATAATGACCAAATCTAATGGTCTAACTCTACCTACGAGTGAAAGACAAAAAAAAAAGAAAAAAGAAATAATAATGAAACTACTTCCCTTCTTCTGATTAGTAACTTCAACTTAAATCTAGAGTTGCACAAAGATTAAATCAACAACTAGCTTGGAATATTCAAGAGAAATAACAATCATTTGATTGCCAAGTGAAACCATCACATGAGAAATTGGAGGAAATACATCCCTACTCCAAGAAGAAACAGTTTTCCTCAAAAACATATATACAAGTTCTCACAAAATCATTTTGTACATAAAAGTGGATTTTGAGAATTTACATACAAAAACCTAAGGAAAGTCTAAGAAAGTACAAAGGAAATAAAATTACTCGGCCAAATTCTTCCATTTAAACCCCAATAGATATATTACTATGACATTCACAACAAGCAAGAGAAGATTTGTGCTGCCTAGAAATGAGGCAACATCCACCCCACAGTCCATCCCAGGAGCAAACCAGCACCAACAAGGCTCAACCCCAAGGCGAAAGCGACGGCGTATTTCGCCACATCATGATCCGGGCGGCCTCTTTTTTCTCCTCTACCCTTGACACCCTTATGCAAGCTCTTCCTTGGCTTCCTCTCTTCGCAAGAAGACTTCCATGGAATGATCAATGGGAAAAGATTGGAGATTTGCTGGTCATTGTTGTTTAACTGGATATATAGGGTTTCCAGCTGCAGCAATTGGAGCCACTGTTTGTAGGCGAAAAGTAGTGAGGCTTGTCTGAAGAAAAGTGTAACAATGTGCTCTTTTTCGGCATAAGCCTGCTTTGCCGCCTTCTCAGCTTCCCTTGCTCGCGTTTGAGAATGGCAGAGTGCTTCCATCAGCTGCGCTTTGCTGAATTCTCCCTCGCAATCTTGTTGTATCTCTGTCATATTCTTGTGGCTTGTACAATAACTGTTTTTGGGTCATCAAAGTCAGTACAAACTTATGTTTATGGATAAATTAGACCTGTGTACGTGTTTTATTCTATAATACAAAACCAACATGACTCATTGAATCAAAACCAGCGTCATAAATCTAGAGAGTGTAAATGTAACAGCAATCTATGTGCATCAACATAGTTTCCTTTTAAAAAGATGAAATAACTCGAAAAGTAACTGAAATTGGGAGGGAAATTTAGCTACAAGTACCTTGAAGTTTCGTCAGATTCGTAAAGCGAAAGTCCTTTGGTTAAACACCCCGGTATCTCTTGCGTTCTTCCAGAGTTAGCAAAGCCCGGAGAACGAACAGTCCCAGTGGAGGAGAGACTACCAGTTTGAGTTCTCCAATCCAAAGATGATGCAGAAATCTCCTTACTGTCAAAACAGCCAATGCGAGCATAAGGGTGTCTTCTATGGGACGTCTTTTGAGGCGGGGGAAGATCGCAGTTCCCAACACGGTCAAGTGATTTCTGCGCAACCAAGGATACCAATTCATCTCTATCCGTCATCCGCCACCATGGCTCACTCTTTTCACTCCCCATCCAACTATATTCTGGCTCAAAGCACATTTCATTTGATTGTTTCGTATCTGAGCAATCAATAGAATCCACCTGCATAATTTCCCAGCTAACTGTTGAATCCTCAAGTCCAATAAGCTCTTCTATGTCCTTACCATCTAAGGCCTTTACATTTTTCTTTCCTACTTCTGAAGCTTTCTTTTGGGCAGCATTATGTACACTAACAAAACACTCATTGTTCTTGTCTCCTTTCCTTTTGTGCGCCTCACTTATTCTGGATGTCGAGTTTACAACACCCGCATTCTTAGTTCCCTCCTCATTCTCCAAAGCATTCATCTGTTCATATGTAAAACCCTTTTGGCATCCGTAATTCGGTTGCATATGGAGCCACCATCTTGTGTCAGGGGGTAAATTAGAATACGACGGACACCTGTTAGTAGGCATGAAACCGACAGCAGGATGGTCTGGCCCGTCGGTTGCTGTTGCGTGTCCTCCCGCTTCAACTTGTTTCGATGTTGAAGAGGATTGGCAGCAAGCTAATTTAGGAGCTCTTTTTGCATCTTCTTGGACAAAGCAACGATTGGCCGCTCTTTGCCACACAGCTCTTGCTTCTGCTACTGCCATTTTTCTCTTATTCGTCGCACATTTATTCTGTAGAAGGAGAAACAAAACAAATTAGAAAGGATATAATATCCAAACAGGTATGGATCTAATTAAGAAAAAAAAAGTTCCCTAGATATCATTTTGAGTATCCAAAAAAAAAAAAAAAGGACCGTCCAATATTTCTATCCCGCTAAATTCAATAAAGATATAGTTCTAGCCTTCTAAGCCTAGCCTTGAGCCATGGGTGATTCAACAAATCAAAAACAATCCAAGAGAAAAATTATCTAAACCCACCAAAAGGATTTGATTGACTAAAACCACCATGGGCCTCTGGGAATCAGAATAATGTTAAAAATGTATTCTTTTCAACTGGAATGAACAAATGTATGCCTTTTTACAGACAAATAATTTATCATCAACGACCAATCCATAAATACAAATAAGAAACTTTAGTAATTGGTTTGGAATCAGAATCAAATACAATAACTTTCTTCAATTAGATTCTCCAATGCAGTTCTGGAAAGATCCAAAAATGAAGGAAAAAAAAAAAAAAACTGAGGATAAGATAAGGATAAATCAGCAATCAATGCCCCTCATCACTGAAGGTTCTCAAAATTCATCAAATTTATAATAGTCAATCAAAAAAAAAAAAAAAAAGAATAAAACCCAGAAAAATCAAACACCAATCCATGTCAAGGAGCCTAAAAATAAAAATTCAGCACCAGGCTATCCATCTAAACAAAAAAAAAGGGTCAAATTATTCTAATTTAACAACAGGAGCAAAAGAACCTAGTTTTTTAATATAGATGAAGCATCAAAAGATAATTCCTAATCCTATCAAAGGAAAAAAATAATAATAAAAAGAAGAAACCCAATAGAGAAACTCAACTGAATTGAAGAAGCTTAATGAAGATGGCCAAGTGGGTGCTCCTCAGAAGTTAGATCTGCTATAAATGAAGTAACATATGTAGAAACGAAACGTTTTTTGTGTGAGATCCAATCCAACAAAGAGACTAAACGAATCTAAGACCAAGCAAGAAGATGATGACCCATGTCAGAGACGGCAAGGAGAGAGAGTGAGAGAAAAAGAGGAGAGAGAAAGAGAGGGTGGTGGTGTCATCCTTGCTTCTTTTTTTTTTTTAATTTTTTTTTTAATGTTTTTCAGTTATCATTCTCTGCTATCGGTTTGCAACTTTGCAATTACAATTCACCTAACGACCACTCATAGAGCGGTTTTTTGCCTGTCGTTTTGAAAAAGGGATCCGTACTAGTTGAGTTGTTGCGTAAAACACGTGGCATGTGGTGGCGCGTATCAAAGATGAACGTGGGGTCCACGCCGGTTATAGGATAAGACCCGTTTTATCTATTAAAACGGAGAGAGTGCTCGACTCTCACGCAAGCATGAAAATCCTGGGTTCCTAACTCCGACCAACCACCCTTTGATTTGCCTCTCCAAAGAAATAGATAAATACAGATAAAGAAATTGTATACAAAAATTGGCATATCTGGTGGACCCCACGAGTGCAACCCCATTTTTCATTTCAAGAAACTAAGAGCTAAAAATGGACTGCTGAAAATCATGTTATTGAAAGTTTCTGGGTTAATAAGAGGTGCCTTTTATCTAAAAGAAAAAGAGATTAGTGGTGTACTATTCTGAATTTATATGTTTTCGTTAACTCATACTTAAGGACTCTAAAATCACATCGACACGAATTAATAAAAATCAAATTTTAGATGATATCGTTCTTCACCACTACTGTCGTAAGAGAAACTTGTTTATTACCTTTTAACTCGAGTAAAATTAGTAAACTGTGTGTGGGCCCCCGGTTTTCTGGATTCGTGTTTGATATGTCCTTCGGCTTAGGATATAATTGTGGGCGATCAAGTATAATCGAGAAATAAGAATCAAAGGTCTATTCATTTCGTTGATTCGAATTTAGAATTTAAATTTTGTTACAGTAAAAAATTCTTACAAATAATCACATTTAATTTTTTTCTTACAGTAAAAAATTCTCACATAAAATCACATCTCAACTCAAATTAAAAACTCAAATCAACGAACTAAACAAGTCCGAAAAAATATAATCGAGATCAGGGTGTGTCATGATTGATGGGAGTGGAAGAAAAAGCAGCACTCTTCCAGTAAAAGCAACTCGCACTTTGAACTTGCTTATTATATGCAATATCCTTTTTTTTTTTTTTCTTGACTTACCGTAGTGCACTAAGATATACACTTTGCCAGGTGAAACAATGTCATTGATACAACCTTCGTCTGTGAAATGATGATATACGCGCTTCTGTTTAGCTCTTTGAATCGCCCACAGGAATGCTTCCCCTGGTATTGGCAGTACTAGAGTGGAGAGGATTTAGTAACCTATTTTTTCTCTGTTGGCTGAAACCATAGTAATTTTTTTTTCCAGACGGCCAAGATGATGAAAGTGGAAACCGTGGCAAAAGCTAGGAGGAAGTTGAAAAGGCACACCATTAAAGTCAGAAGAAACATGTTAGGTTGCCAAATTGTCCCAAAAAGTGCATAAACTAGGAAACGGATTTCTCTAGCTAAATTACGTGGAAGCCGGTGGCTTAGGGCCAAATTAATATACCTCTCCAAGAGAATGCACTCTAGAGAAAAAAAAAAAAAAGACGGGAAAGAAAAGAAAAGGAAATAACACAAGAATAAGAAGATAAACGTTTTTATTCGTTTCAGCTCAAGCCACGCATAACATTAGGAAAAGAAGAGGACATCAGCAATATATATATATATATATATATATATATATATCTGTTTTATTTTTTTTTTTCTTGGGATGAAAAAACAATCTCTTATAATACAACCGCCTGTGAAAAGAATGAAATCACTAATCACTAATATACACTACAGAGCATTCTGCATTGTAGAACTAATTATGGGATACATTTTGGTTTCACAAATATATACAAAAAAAAAAAAAAAAAAAAGCCTCAAGTAAACACACGCGTAGTAAAAAAATTTGCGACGTATCCAAAAATTAGGTTCCATTGCTGATTCTTCGCCGGATCTTTAACTCCATAAGTGCAACCGGGAAAGAAGAGGCATGTCTTAGCTCATTAAACCAAGAAAGCAGTGCAAAAGTCTTGAAACATATGGGAATGACTTTGCGTTTACTATAGTAAGTCACAGAGATTCACGGGGAACGGGGAGGGAGTTATTCACATTCCTTCCTGTTAGTTGGCCATGGAGAAACCGTAGGCAAGAGAAAGAAACAAAAAAAATTGACTTCTATTTGCGAATCAAAGTAGGCAAGGGTCAGGATTATCTTGGGCATCTGTCAGGGTCTGCAGTGTTGCTGTTCCTAACCGATGTAGAATGCCAAATATCGCAATGCGTGGTGTTTTCCTCTTTACCTTATTTCAAGTCGCTGGAGAATTCCCATGAAACTAATTATCCAAATGCAACTCGGATCGACTTCCTTACGTCTTATGTTATGCCGCCTTATTTCCTGTGTTGGTCTTTGAGCTCAATCAGCTTTACACTACCGTCTCCACCACATGTAAGAAAACCATGTGAAACAACTTGTATATCTGTGACAGCAGCCTGTGAAGATGAATATGATATTGCTTTAGCATATGCAAGCCAACCAAAATTAGTGTAGTTGCGGTTCTACGGGCATACACAAAGAATAGCACTATAAAGGAACAACAAATTACCCGAACTACCCCACCATAGCCTCGAGAGCTTGGTTGCAAAAATGTATGTCTATCATGCAATTTTGGCCAATGAAATAACATCCTAGCTTTTCTTGCATCCCAAAGTTTAACGTCCCCATCTTTGCTTCCCGTTAAGAATAAACTGGTATTTGGGATTGTAGATACCTTGGTAACACTCCCTTCAATCAGATCAATTCGGAGAACAAGTCAATGATAACAATCAACTAAACAGTAGTGAGTGGACATAGTCGTTCCTGAGATTCACTTTGCTTATACCTGAATGAGCCTTTGGTATGTACCAAACCATCCCATTTATGTTTTGGTCCCCAACTCTGTTCCCATTAGCTGTCCGCGTGTCAACATTTGATGATGTGGTGGTGGTTTGTCCACCATTACTAGAATGGTTGTGCCTTTTAGTCTTTCCAGTAGCAATGTACCGAAAATCATGAACTCCAACATCGCCACCTTTACCGCCAGTAACAATAAGGGGAGAAATAGAACCACTTCCTATGTCATTATCAAAGACTGAAAGAGAGCGTGCACCACCTTCACATAAAAAGGAGAAAGGTTCATATAACATGAGATGAGCGTAAAAATTCTGAGCGTACTTTTATTCCACTTACTTTTTATTTTGTTGATTTCTAATTGATTTGATTGCAAGAAATATTTGGAGATTCAAGTAGACAACTTATCCTTTTTCAGTAAAAATATGTTTCTACTTTTTCCTTGAGCACTTTTTTGTTTCTTTTCTCGAGATATAAAGAATTAAGAGGATCGTGGGGAATCATGCACCTAATTTCACCTTGCCAAAACACAGTTCAAGACTTGCTCAGAGACCTTTTACTAAAATTGAAACCAAAAAAACAAAAAAAAACAAACAAAAAAAGAGTTTATACCTTCATGACATATAATTGAAGCTTGTGAAGTTGTGGGTGGAGCTAACGTGTCCCATATAACCACATTAACGCCAGAGGAGCTATATCCAGCTAAAGCAATGATAGATCCACTCGAAGTAATATAAGTAACATCCCTGCGAATGACAATACATATGGATGTAACAGTTCCCCAAGAAAAATTAGGAATTTAACTCTGTTCGTTTCAACCCAAGAACATAGGACAAAATTGAAATTGTTTCTTGAACTTTCTAAATTAATTACACATACGATGCATGGCCATCAAAGCAGTGTGATGTTTCTGTTGGATAAATATTGTTCCTTCCTCCCACCTCCAACTGCCACGTACATACGGTGCCATCTAAGGCAGCAGAAGCAAATCTGTGTCCATAATGGTCATACTGCAAGGCAGATATTGAGGCAAGAGCATACGGTGGAGGGACATTTGCAGCAGGAAGTACTCCATAAGTGGCAGTAGCTTTCTTCTTACCAAACTGTACATATAAAATTTTGAATCAATATATATGCCCTCAAAGCTAACAACTTGTAATGTGCTTGTTTTGCAAAAGACTTTCACTGCTTTTCTAAAATATTAGTTTCCTTCCTCTATCACCATGTTTAATCTTTCGTCCAAATAAAAAGAAATTATAAAGTCAACACTCAAGAGCTTCAACACCAAACACATAAGCCTTTTCGTTAGAATAGAACTCCAGTCTGTCTAACCATGAGCCCAGTTGATGAAATGGTTCTTGCAACTTGCAAAACACTAGAAACATAACCAAGAGGCATTTCACAATATTTTCACTGAAACAATTTCAAGGAAACCAAACTCTAAAAGAAGATATTTTAGTAATACAAAAAAGATTGCAACGCGTAATACTCAAGAATAATGAGGGGAAAGAAAACAACATACTAATTAGAAAAGCCAAGTTTCATACCTCCCATAAGTAAATGTGTGTATTGCTAGAGCCAACCAAGAAGATGGGCCGAGAGGGATGACTGGAGAAAGCTCTAGTACTTATATTCTCCACAGTGGGTGTAGAATCCACAACCTCCTCGAAGTCCTCTTGAGTTCCCCAACCTAAGCCAGAGGCACCAATACCAGCATAACCTGGAACACCAAATGCCCCACCCCCAGTCAAGTCTCTCCTGGGCTTTGCGAAAGAGCCCACGCCAACAGTTGCTCCACCCAGTCCAAGGTGTGCCCCTTTCTTGCTCCCAAGACCAATACCAGGAGAAACATATGTAGGAGCTGGGTTTGACTCAGAACCAGCCCATCCATTCGGCGGCCAACCAGCCTCTAACCAAATAGAATCAGACTGATCTCCGAAAGGTATTTCATCTTCCCAGTTGAAAAATAGTATACCCTGAATCAGACAGCAACTCGTATGAAAAATCATTTATGTCTTTGTCTGTAGAATGGAAGCAAGCTACAAAACAATGGCCAAAATGATATCTTTCGAACATTGAAAAATCAGTGTAAACCAGCTATTGAGATAGCAGCCTGTTTTCAAATAATCAAGATAAAGCTAGAGTGCTTGACTATATTAATACCCCGAACTAGGGAGCTGTCATGAACTGTTCATGCATCAATCCACTTACAGGTACGAGATACGCAAGGCAAAAAAATTTAAGTTTCCTTGGAAACTCAGTTTTTACCAGCAAGCCAAAGTTCACAGACAACACAGCTTATACACCCCAGGGACAACTGAATTTCTCCAAATATACCACCAAACAAAGTTTAAATTTCCTTTTGGACGAAGAGTCTGGATCTTCAATTTTGTTATTTGCATGACTTGGTGGACCGGAAACCATAACATCTAAAACAGGTTAAACTTTTGAAAAGTGGCTACACACTTTTATCTGAAGCAACCACAGAAAAGTAGGTGCCTGGATTTGAAATATGCCGGCCACACACCAATGAATTCATGCATTTTCCTATGCAAGTTAAAGTTGGAACTTATATCTGTGAAACAGCAAAACAAATAGAACATTTGACCCCCCAGAAACCCAGCCGTAAATATTAGTCATGTTTCTGATTTTTTTTTGCTTTCCTTTTTTTAGCTATTTCAATATAAGGACAAGAATTGGGAGCATGAACACATGCTAATGCCTAATAGAGCTTGCAAGCCAATGAGAAAAAGATGGTAGTGAAAAAACCATAAACAAAACAGAATTTCAAGACAAACCAATATGACAAATATATTGAAGTAAAAGTTTTAGGACTTACTTTTCGGTTGCTAGCAACAGCAGCTTGTCCTTGATGAATGGAGTTGATGCACAATGCCTGCCAAAAGGAATGGATTTATTACGGTAAATATATGAACCTCAAAAAAATAAGGGGCAACCTCCAGTTATCAAAATACGATAGACCCTACAATATTGAAGATCCACATGATATCAGGTGAGAAAAAGATGGATAAAGTTATAGGAATAAATGAAACTTACCTCCAAAAGTTCGCCATTCCTCTTGAGCACTTCTCTAGGGCTCAAGAAGGACAAAATATCCTTAGTAATGGTATTATCTTTCTGCCATGACCACAAAAAAGTATTCCCGTTCTGAAATATCCATCTCGTAGGTGCCCCAGTTTCAGTAGTTGCTGAGCTAGTGCTAGGTGAACCTTTTTGATTATGGGCTTCCTCAGTTTCGTCTATCACACCAATGCCTTCGCATAGGTCATTCCATCCTATAGAAGGTTTATGATCAAAGCAGTGCAAGAAACTTATTTTTTCCACAGCAAAACTTTCGGATATTAATTTAGGTTCAGCACATATGTCCCATAATCTATTGAATCCATCTTCATCATTGAACACGTCCAGATGGACAATATCCTGACTTAGATTCTGACAGGGGTCTCTGCTTTGAGCCTGACTAGATTCTTCCAACCAAATAAGAGTCTTTGCGTGCCATCCATATTCCATCTTCTTGTGTACATATGATGCCAGCTGTTTTACATGATATGAAGAAACGTGTTCTGCTGTGGTCTTTAATAGCTTGACCGAGATCAACAAAACCAGCCCAATCTGTTCTTTTGAACTGTTCTCATCAGATTCCAAATTTGTGGTATTAAATGATCCTGAAGAAGGTCTGCCATGGGATAAGCCAGAAAAACAGCTGTCTTCAAGTTTATATGACATGGTATTTAGTTTATGCTTAATAAATCTGGACATGTGTTGCCACAAACAAGCCCCTATAATATGCCACCGTTCATCTTCTGGAATTGAATGTGGTATATCCGAAACTTGATTTTCTAACAGCTCATCAGAATTCTGTGGACCTTTTCCTACATCACGATGCAATAAACTTTGGACAAGATCTACAATCTCAGGGAGACGCTTCTTCAGATTTGCAATATCAACATCATAAAGTGTATGCACATTGGTATGCGTCAACAACAGAGGTTCCACAATCTTAAAGAGACCTCTAAAGTTTCTTTGAAACCAAGAATATGCAAAGTATAGAAAATATTCAACTAAGTCAAGAATGATGAGATATTCACTTAGGGATTTACATGTCATCCTCAAAGAAGCTCTTAAAAGCCGCAGTGACAACAGAACACATTGAAAATCATATCCCCAAGCATTGGAACGTGAAGATGATATACTTTCACAAGATACATCAGTTTCAATAAAATATGACAGTTGGGAACACGTCAAGCTGCAGGCAATAATAAATCGCGAAAACAATAGGGAGGTTTCTTCAGTAACCTTGAAAAGTGGTTTAGTTGTAAGACTATGCAAGCATATTCTATCAACTGTTTGGATTTTGTCTGGCAAGTGATCGTGATTTATATATCCACAAAATAGATCATATCCAACAAACAACAGGCCGTGATTGTATAATGAGATTAAAATCTGCAGAATGGAGAGGGAACAAAATTAAGTCGAGTGACAAAGATAAAATCCTCATGTTCGACAAGCTTAAAATGTATGAACTAAGTAATACAAAGTTTCATCACTAAAAGTTTCTTGTTTAAAAAAAAAAAAAGAACTATATTATATATGCATACCTTGCTAATTAGACACAATGGACGTAGTGAAAATTTTTGCTCAAACTGTAGCATTTCTGTGTCAAGCTTATGTTGAAAGCTTTCAAGAAGTTCCACGAAGTGATGATGCTCATATTCTTTTGAGCACATATGAGCTCCAGCAGATCCAACAATGATATCTTCCCAGCTCGGATGTTCTCTTAGCAATTTTGAGAAGTATTTAAGTGCTAAATCAATTTTAGCATGATACTCAAGACAAAAGGCAACATCGTCTGAAAGCCAATTAGAAGAATCTCTGGCAGAAGGCTTTAGGATTCCATGTAGAATGTTTGAATGCTCAGAACTGGATATACTTCCTTGATTTGTATTCCCAAGAACGTTCAGTGAAGATGATAAGCACTCCAAAGCTTCAAGCTTACAGTGAGCATGAAATATATTAGCATAACCCAAACATAGACAGGCCACCTTTGAGGTCTAGTTTATCAGTAACTAATAAAAGGAAATCCAACATCTAAAAGATGTGTGAAAACATGCATAATATTTCGAACACTAAAACTGTAGGGTAGTGTAAAGGACTAATTAATACTGGGCAACTTGGATAGAGCATCTGGGCAAGCCTTGTAAGGTTCTATATGGTTATCCATCCAAATGCCTTCAAGACATATCTAAGGTCGTAGAAGATCCAATTGCACTCAGAACTGAACCACTTAAAAGTCTAAAGAGTTAAGGTGCCTTGTTCAGAGAAGAGGACAAAGAACCACCAACAAGGGCAAGTATGCATAAGTTTGTACTTTGTATCTAAGAATTTCCTCAAAGAAAAAGGTTTGAAGCTGTGTATTAAAGTTAATCAAGGTTGTACATTAACTAGAAACTTGAAATAGTATAGCTGAATATTTTTGCACATCAGTAAATTATTCCCTAAATAAAAATAAAAATAAAAAATAAAACATAAAAAACCTGAAATCACAAAAATAACTTTCAGAGTATACTACCATCCAGAACTCAATCCAATATAGCAACAGAATGAAACACAAATAGAACTTACAGGAAGGCCACGTCTGCTTAAGGCAATCGTTGTCATCAGAATCGCCCACCTACCAAGTATTGCAGTATTTTGGTCCCCAATAGCATTTCTCGTATTATTTTTGGCTGCAAGTGTATGGCAATAGAGACCAATCTTTGGCCCTAAGAAACAAACATTGTTGGAGCAAACTGTGGACTTTTCAATTGCAGAATCAGTTTTGAAACTAAACATTCTCATAAAAGATTGGTAGTAATTCCCCAGTTCCCACTGCAAATCAAGGAGAGTCCACAATAAGTTATTTGAGAAACAACAGAGATGTCACCCATGCAGCTTTCTATGATAGCATCTTAAAACGAAGATTATTCAGTTATTTTTGAAAAAGGCACCTCCAGAAGGCTCGTTAGCCAATTGTCGCCCTTCTCAATTGCAGATGGAAGCATAAATTTTGTTATTAGGTGATGCTCTGATGGTCCACCACACCCCTCAACCAGCCGACAAATTACTAGTGCCAGTTGTTCATCCCCAAGGTTCTTTGCGCAGACATTGATAGCAGAGGCAATATCACCTCCAAGCAGGAAGAAAGCAATAGCTAACTCCAGCTGATGTCTCCCCATTAAAACATATGCATTCTTTAACGCCGCTAACTTATTCTTCTCTTCCTGCAAGTAATGACACCACCACTTATTAAAATTTGAAACTCTTACGAAAACCAAGCATTAACAAATTAGCTAAACCATCAAACAATGTAAGATAGAACGCAACAAGTAGACGCAAGCCAAGGAGAGGGGAGAAAAATGAAAGACGTCTCTATAACAGACTACCACCAAATGGCAGTAGATGGTGCAGAACTTCACCGGAAAAGATTTCTTATGCCTCTTTCACATTACTTTTTTTCTGGATTCTTCCAAATAATTCAATAACATACTGGCCCTTACGTAACTTTTTACACTACCTTGAAATTTCGTGAAAGAAATCCCACCAGGGGCTTGTCCTTCTCATCCTTGCTGATTTTGAAAAGGCCAGCTAAGACTTGGATTCTATTCAGAGCAACGTATAACAATGCACAATCCTTAGGATTTTTGTTCTTCAGATACTGCGACCTTGCCAATTTTTCCATCTACATAAAAAAAAAGTGTCAAAACTGCTTGACATAGTTATAGACTTATAGTACAACATAAAAAAAAAAAAAAAATAGTCAAAATAAATTCATCCAGATTTATGGTCAAATGAGAGAGGAAAGGGTGCACTGTGGAGAAGTATAAAAGTACACCATCCAGTCTCCAAACAATAAAATGACAAAATTACTTGCACAATAATATGGGATTATATTTGAATAATTTTCCTCTCAAAATCACTTGCTCATTGCAAGAACAATTTTTCAGTTGAAAATTCCCACGTAACATGCATAACTAAACTGGATAGCTCTATTACTACTCGATCAGCACAAAAAGTCAGGTTCTCTTACAAAGTTGAGAAGAGCTGTTTCCCTAGCTTAATGGATTCACTAGAATACTAATAAAAGATGAAAAGATTACCTTTGTACGCAGTTGTGCTGCATTTGTGAACCAAAATCCAACACCCAAGTTACGCATTTCTGGCCAAGATGGTTCATTTGGTAGAATAGATCCAAACAAATTTTCCTCACAATCAGAGTGATAGGCCCACACAATCAAGCTAGAATCAATAACCAATTCCTCCATGGTTGCTGGTCTACTGAACCTTTGGAAAAAGTGTAATTGCTGAAACTTCAATTCCACCCAGAACCTACAAAGAAAACATAGGTAATAATAATTCAGAAACAAGTAAGTTCTAACATGATGGAAAGATTCAACAAACCGCTACCTCATTCTAAAGAATCTACACAAGATCAAAGAACATTTTACATGTTCAAAAACAGAAAGAAAAAGGAATCTTTGACCGCGAAAAATTTGTGGAATGCCATCTAAACATGAACGGAAGAATTACCTTTGTCCAGGTTCATCAAGACTTCCATAAGCAGAGTTTGGATTAGTAATTTCACCAAGAAGATCTATTACGGCAAGAATTTGTGTCTTCTCTACATTGGTTATAGAAGCTAACTCGTAAAAGTTCTCAAGTGGCTCAATGAAGGCAATTAGTTCAGATCTTGTTGAAGAGGATGTAAACAAGTTATTAGAAGAATTAGAGTCAAAATTGTATGCAAACTGGGATATGCCCATCTGAAACTGAGAAGTTGAAGTGGTTAAAGCGGCCTTTCCACCCCAGTGGAATCCTTTGTCAGGTAAACTTTTTTGGAGGAGTCCTTCAAAATAATTTGACAGAGGAATTTGTGGAACAATATAGCTAAAATTGATTGTGCCACGTTTCTCCTCAGAAGCACGAGTAAGGCATTCAATAAGATGCCTCAGAGCTGAATATGCTCGCTTCCAATTGCCTAAACACATCAGAGATAGAAGCTTAAACAACATTACACTAAAAGTTCAAATAAACATCAAGTACAAGCACAATGAAAACAAAGCATTCCAAAAATAGTTTCCATAAGGAAGATTATTGTAGGAAAGCCATATTTGGTCCACAATTTGTTGAAACTAACAATGGAATTAGGAAGTATGATATGTACAAGATAACAACGTGACATAAGTCGAAGGGCTAGGATGAGATGAGCTAAATTAATTGTTGCCTAGCTCCTTTTCTAACAAGATGTAAGGTTTATCAGGTAGGAAAGTCATGATAACGGCACTGCATGCAATTTCTTAAGACGTGCCGCTCCGTCTCATTTCAGAACTACGCTTAGTTTTTTCTTTTGTTTTTGTTTTTCCTCCCTTAAATGTATGCATATATTAACGTAAATATTTGTTTGAAAATTATGGGGAAAAAATAATATCTATACCGAGAATATCCATAATAATGAAAGCACCAACTTAAAATGAGGCAGAAAAATGATATATTTCTGTCTCATTGTTCAGTTAAAATCACAAGACAATTGCAGCAGCTCTGGGCGACTTCTAAGTTAAAAATGACAAGGATTTTCATTTTGATCATTTTTGTTTTTATACCTGTGAAGATATTCATAAGGAGTGCCTCGGGATGATAAAGTTGCAGAGATCCACCTAACTTCTCGGTCACTTCTAGCATGTTCCATAAACCAAGTTTCACGCTCCAACCATCCTCCAACTGGGCCCTTGCTGCCAACAAACTGCTAAATTGACAATCCTTTTTCGTATTAGTATTTTCAGGAGTTCCAAAGTTTTTCTCTTTGCTATTGTCCTCAAGTATCAATTCTGTCAACTTACCGATGTCACAATCACTGAAAATTGCAGAATGAATGTCCTCTTCTTTTTCACCCGCAGCACATAGGAAAATGCTCTTACAATTTTCTGAATAGACCTTAGCCTGTTGCTTTTTATCTATGAGGAACACCCATTGACTGGTTATCGACAGATAACGATCATGAACAACAACAGCTGTTGCTCTTGGGCCCCAAAGAAAGTCATTAATTGGAGAGATGGTACAAGCATATGCAATGCAGCGCCAAATTTCCCCTTTCAAAGATTTTCCAGAGTCCAAGAAAGTCTTACCACTAAAACATCTCTGAGCATAAATACGCAACTGATTCTGCTTGCAGACGCCAAGTAATAACTGACCATTACCCGAGGTTAACCAATTTAAAGCAACAACTTGACCATCGAGGGCTATTGTGTCTTCTAAAATAAAAGCCCCTGAACCCACAACATGTGCAGACTCCCATACACAAACAGTGCTAACCTCATTTGAATGAAATTCCTTGCAGATGGTTGCGACCTTTCGACCACAGTCGCTTAAACACATAGCACTAATGGGCCCCTGATGTGCCAAAAACATGCCGACAAGCTCCCATAGTGCAGAAGAGGTTGATGCTTCACTGAGCTCACTTCTCCACAATTTCACATAACCATTAGCGCAGCCCGTGGCCATGATATATGCAGGATGCCTGAAGGTTTGATTGCTAAAAGAAGTCGATACTTGTGAAACCAAATGGTCTGGAGATACCACAGCAAAACTTGTAACATGATCACGCTTGTGAGGTTCTGGTAGTTGTGATGAGCAAGGACAAACGTTAACACAATATCTTTTACCACAAAAATTAGTTCCAAAATTCCATGTGCCGCATTCATCAGCATCTGTTGACTCAAAATTACAATTACAGCAGCTTCCTGATAAATCATAAGAATGCAAGTTGACTTCCCATGAAAGGGCCCGAAACCCATTCATCCATATGCCCAAAAGCAATAATTTATGAGACTTTAAGATGTCATTTCTAGTAGAAGGCAAAGGAATCACAAAGATAATGGTTGGACCTTCCTCAAAAGGACCATGACCCGTGAAAGGTATAGTACACAAGTAGTGACATTCTACATTTTCGTCTTCCCTTTCATTTATCTTAACAACAAAGCAATCAATTCCTCCAACATGTCCCAAAAGGAGAACAAGTTCTTGATCCAGTATTGAAGGAGCCCATCTCAAGCTTGTATACTTGGAACAAGAAACCCGAGTTCCAAGCTTCCCATGGAGCTCCCATGTGGGAATTAATGTTGGACGACCCAAAATGCAGTTAGAAATTGTAGACATTGACCAAAATAGAAGCAACCCATTGGAATCTAAGGACACGGCAAATTCAACTTCACAGCTACAAGGATGCACAGCTACTTGTAAGATTTTTCCAGTATGACCATCTAAATTTAATACTCCACCAGGCAAGCAAGAAACATTCTCTCTTAAATTATGTTCAACTGATAACTCCTCTATAGTACCAGATGTTTGTGTACATAACAGTGACCAAGCCAAGGAATTAGAAGGTAACAATTGAATCAAAGAGCACATTTTTGGTGGACCAGAAGCACTATTCCTCAATATTGCAGCTTTACTCAGAAATATTCCCTCTTTAGAATTCAGAAAATTGATCCTAGAAAGTCCATCTTCCAGACCCTGCAGTTCTAGTGTCTTCCACAATGTAACTCGAGGAAATCTCATTGGAGAGACATCATCTAGACAATGAACTCCCCAGAGACTAACCAACGTTCCTGGACCAAACCCAATAATCCACTCACAACTGCCAGCCTTGTCGTGATCATATCTTTTCGAGGAGAAGAACTTTTTAGCACCTTCACCAGCTTCAAATATACCCTCGATTTCTATGGCCCATGTCACAAACACATCCATACCTAAAGTTCCACTCATCGACTGATTTATCTCAATTACAGCAGCAACATAAAAGGACCTCCTCACTGTCTCCTTGCCAACTTTTCTGCCCTTTCCATTATCAATCTCACACCACAACCTTACAGTTCCATCTAAGCAACAAGTTAGCAGCACATTTCTCTCCGAGTTTTTACCATCCCCATTTGATTCTCTACCTATCTGCCTCCACTGAATCATTGATACAGGAAAAGGATGATTTAGCTCAACTTTCCCATATCCCAATTTTCCATCATTTTGACACACTGATACACATGATGATCCTTCGTTTTGCGGTGTATTCGCATAAGTTGCCGTTGCAGAAGGTCCATCAATAGACCATGTAGCGGAAACCAGAGTTTGAGGTCGATCAGTTTTAAACTTCCAAGCGATTTCCCAAAACCTGTTGCTTCTTCTCCACAGAACAACTTCAACTCCGCCGGCAACAATTCCGTCCCCGGAGCCGGTCCATCGGACTGCATCCACCTTGGCAGATTGAACAAGTATTGCACTCTGGCTCCAACAAAAAGAACCTGAATATGAGTGCAAAAAATTTCGAAAGTTTTACATCCAAATAAAAATTGGGATCAAGTATTGCATTTTGGATATCACACAATTTGCAAACACTCCAACATAGCAATTAACACAAAAATCCCAAAATCTAGCAAAAAAATTCCTAACTTTTTGAGTTCATTTTCTAGTTTTGTCCGACCATTTTCTCATAAACCAAACAGTACCTTGAGAAGTCCCCGAATCATGAGCGAACACCCAAACGCAATTCTCGGCCGCCGCGGCGAGCTCACCGACGGAGGGCGTCGCGGAAGACCACGAGACGGCGTTCACGGCAGAAGAAGGATCGCCGGAGAGCTCGAAAACCTGCCGGAAAAGAGGTCCGATTACGGTTTCGTTGGAGGAGAGTGGAGAGGGGAAGTGAGAGATGACTAGGAGAGAGGAAGCTCCGTAGGCGATCCATGAGAGGTCGGAGAAGTTCGGGAGCCAGTCGATGGTGGACCCGGGCGGATCGGTACGGGTCGGAGCGGGAGGGATTGTGTCGGATCTGAGGAGAGAAAGAGGAAGATGATGGATCGGATCGATGTTGGAGAGAGAGGTTTTGGAAGTAGTAGAGGACTGTGTCTCTGTGTCCGCCATTGTTAATCTTTCATGGTCTGATCAGAGAGGAACTAAATTGAGTTAGAGAAGACGAGCTATATTTTGGCTAGTTTGATAGCGCCGTGGATTCCAGAAAAATTGCTTTTACCCTGAAAAAACAACTTATAAGAATCTACTCAGTATTTAATAAACTGTAATTATAATAACTGTACTGATTTTAAAATTAATATAATAACGTTTGATAAATTTTAATATTAAATTATTGTGAATATATAAAATAATCATGATATGAAACTTAAATATATATAATTATTTTTAGTATTTAAAAATACTTATTTAATTTAAAAAAATATAATGCTATAATTTTGAATTTTTTTATAATAAATTTATGATAATTAGTTTTTTTTTTCATTTCTTCATTCACAATATAATTACAACTAAAATAAGCATTAATGACTAATCAATTTGTTAAAAAAAAAGTACATTCCATGTTTAAAAATTGACAGTCATTAAAAGAATTAAGTCGTGTTCATTAAACTGTCATTCAATATGATGCAATAACAATAAATCTGTCATTCAATATGGTGCAATAAAAATAATCAGACTCACATACAAGTAGTAATACGAAATGTCAATATACAACAATGTCTTAAACATAAAGCAAAAAAACCACACTGAAAGAAAACAACAATGTCTCCAACCTGAATACAACAAGAAGACCATACTGAAAGAGAATAACAATGTCTCAACCATCAATACAACAAGAAAACCGCAATAAAAAAGAAATGATGAATGGAAATCTAAGTGAAGGATCCTAACTCATGTTCAAACTTAAACCAAGTGAGCTTCAACTAAGGTTCCGTAAGATACACTTTCTGCACCTCAAGACCATAGATTTTCTCTTCATTCATCTTCTCCAGTCTATTAGATCTTGCCGAGAGATAAATCTGCAGCATCATATATGCTTTGTTCAGTAATATAACTGCAAAACTGCTCTTTCTTCGGCATTGAACTTCAGCACAGACATCAAACCATATTCATCACCGACATACCTGCAAATTGCAATACAGCAAACTTGTTATGAATTGATTGTCCAATACTCTTCAACTTGCCAGCCAATCATCAGCTGATGAAAATATGAGTAACATTAACTTCTTTCAGTGAGTAATGTACATGAAGTTGGAGCCATGGATTGCGACAAAAGCAGTTATATTGGTTTCCCATTGTAAACAGCAAACAAGACATCTGAATGTCATTGTCATTTAAGATGCTAACCAAGTAACCCTGGTTTTGCAGAAATTGCCAAAACAACACTTATTATCTCTGCCGCTCAAGGAATAAGGAAAACAATGAGAAAGGAAAATGAAGATATATATACACATAAACATAAAGATACACGGTTTGGGATGTCTTGGGTTGTCATTTTGTTAGCTAAATATGCTACAAGCATTAAAATCAGCACTGTATCCTAATGTTTTCAGTAATTCATACTTCATGTATACCTCAATGTATTTGAAGGGCAATTGCTTTGGGGATATAAGAAGTCCTATACCATCGCCACCAATCACTTTAATCCTTCCATCCCTGCCCAAAAATATATTTATATATATATATATAAATAAATAAAATAAAAAATAGAGTACTATAGTGACAATGTGGTTCCCCGGCTATGCCAACGTGACATCTCAAGATATATATCTTGTTACTCTTTTATTCATTTATTATTGCACAAAGGACCTAGACTCCCAAGGCATCTTATTTCCCACCAATCAATCTAGTTCAAAGGTGGAGAGGAATTTCCTAAATTTTGTGTAAAGCCCATGATTTCTCTCTCCCCAAAATATGATCCTCAAATGAAAGTTATCACTGAAGTCCATGGTGAAGCACATAAGATAGAGACGCAGGAAGCCAAAATTTCCAAAGAAAGAAGCATAAAAACTATGGATTCATTCAAGTGAACACCATGCGTTGGTACCACAGAAATGAAATGCACAACAAACACTCTCCTAAGAAGCAGTTTCATTCAGCCGCTTTTCTTTGTTTTTGGTTTCTCTTTAATTTTTTCTTTGCCAAATAGTTTTTGAAAATGAGCCACAAGGCAATCCTAGTTCCTAGCTAGCAACTCACACTTCGATCGTAATCCAATACAAACAAGGTAAAAGAATAAAAAAAGAAAAGGCGCTTATTAACTCACAGAGTCCCAATGGCTAAAAGGCGTTGAATGGGGTCGAATGCGAGAATAGAAGATGTAGACGGGATGCCATAGTGAACTGCAATTCGCAGGTCCAAGTCTGTTTCCATCAAACTGCCGTGTTGCAAGTTCTGCCGTATTGCTCGTGGGGCCTTTATTTAAGCTTGTTGGCAAAAATTTTACATTTACATATAGCAATCACAGATTAAACCTTCTGAAACTATGTAGAACACACACAAAAAGATTAAACCTTCCTAAACACGGATTAAACCTTCAGTCCAAAGACTCCAAACACAGATCAAAGTTTCAAACCATAAACAAATAATCATAAATCCAAACCATAAAGGGAGATCAAATCATCAACACGGAAGCATTGGAAAGATGCTTTAAAGATAAAAAAAAAACACTTAAAACCCACAAACAATCAGTAAAACAAGCCAAAAGAAGATGACGAAAACAACGAAAAACAGAAAACTCATAATTAGAAACCTAAAACCCACAAACAAACAGAGGCTTACCTCTTGATCTGATGATGGGCAGTCAGAGGAGGAGATGGGGATACCGGCAAACCGAACCCTCAACAATGCTCAACCGTTTTTCTGCGAAAATCAGAAACCTAAAACCCAAAATATTCAAACTAAAAATCAGACCCAAAAATCCAAATGTTCAAACTAAAAATCGCGCGGTTAGAGAGGTTTACCTCTTGATCTGATGGCGAGAGACGGGCAGTCGGAGGAGGAGAAGGGAGACCGGCAACGGAGAGATCAATCCGGCGGAGGAGAAACCAAACGAGCTCCGAACCGCAAACGGAGAGATCAATCGGCGAACGGAGAGAGAGGCCGGTGAACGGAGCCGGGGAACCTTGCTTCGAACGGCGAGGAGAGGAGAGGAACACATAAAAAATTTCTGCAGAGGAGGAGATGAGAGATACGAGTGGAAGAGAGAGTGGAGAGTGGATTCTTCTAAAATGAAAATGGGGTGTAAATTTTAGATTGCACAGTGAGGTGATAGAGTACAAGCACATTGCGGGGGTTTTTTTTTTTTGGCTATTAAACCGTGTTTGCCATGAAAGTGATGAAAGGAGGTTGATTTTTGGTTATTTTTTAGTACTTTTAAAACGTGTTTTTGTGTTGAAGACACTAAAAAAAATTTATTATTTACAGAATATTAAGAAATTTATTTATATAATTATTTAAGAATTTTTAAATTTATTTTAAAAAAAAATATGTGTAAAAATAATAATTAATAAAAAAAATTAACTATAAACACATTTAAAAAATATTATTTTATCTAAATAAAAATAAAATAAGAACACATGTGAAAAATTACTCTCATAATAATAAAGTGAACAAAATATGTTAAAAAATTCACCAAAAATAAAGATAAAAAAAACAAAGAAAAGAAAAAAAAAGGAGTTAAAGTAGGGAGCTGTCATATGGCAGCTCATATTTTTTTATGTATTGTTTAGGAGTTGAATTAATTTTTTTTGTTAGATCAAAATTTTACTCATTACTCTAGTAAACCATATTTTCTATAAAAAAATATTTATAAACCATATCTCTTTTAGGATAACCAATTAGGACAAGTTAAATATTAAGGCTGATATACAACTTGGTGTTAATTATCAAGAAAAAAAAAACTTTTGTGTTGTTTGCTTTGTGTATTTTTTTTTTTTTTTAGCGTAACGATTTTACTTTGGAAAGAAAAATGTACCAACGGAAGATTTCCCACATGTTGGAATAATAACAACTTTAAGAGTTTTTTTTTTTTTTTTTTTTTTTTTGGATAAGCAACAACGTTAGAGTTGGTAGATGTGCAAGGTTTGTTTTCCAGAAACAAGGGGACAAAAAAAAGTCAAACCTCTTGGCTCTGCAATATTTCTTTTTCTTTCTTGAATATTTTTGAAATGGGGTTTTCATGTTTGATAAATGTATTGGACGATTGAAAAGGTTTTTCTTCTTTTGTTTTGTATCTCTAAGGTGACATAATTTTTGTATGTTATTAATCGTTTATGATATGTTTATGTTATTAATCGTTTATGAGGATCTTGATCACTATTGGCCTGTAGTTATATAGGAGGATCTAGATCAATATGATTAGTTATTTCCTTCTCTGTACTTTTTTGTTGGTATCGTGACCTTTTCTTTTTTTTTTTTCTTTTACTTTAGTGTTGATCTTCTTTAATATTTGTGATAAATTATTATTAACTTTGTACATTTAATAAAGTTGTACGGAACTTTTGCCAAGGTTCAAGAAGCGTGAAAACATAATAAATAAATTTATAACTAACATTTGACATCAAGTAACAAATAGCCTAGTGGTAAGAAGGTGTATTGAAAGTTCATGCTAGAAGTTTGAACCTCAATATAATCAAAAGTATTTTTTTAATAGTATAGAAGGTGGGGGTACGATTTTTTAACCGACTAAATCGGTTTGCTAACATGAAACCGAATGATTTGACGATTCTTAACGTTACCATATAGGTGGGGGTTCGATTTTCTAATCGACTAAGTCGGTTTGCTAACATGAAACTGAATGGTTTGACGATTTCTGACGTTACTATACAACTTCTCATCATTCTCGGGCCTCTAATAGAAATGCATGCTCAAACGACCTCTATTGCTTGTTGACAGGACTACATATGAAGTAGTCGATAGTCATTAGAGCTGACACAACAAACCGCCTTGTTTGATAAGACAATAATCCTGCAAGTCATTAGAGACTATGGAGACAACCACACTGTATGCCATCAAAATTACGTCATAGACATTCAAAATAAGTTAGAGAATGCTAACTTGTAAGTTGTGAAAAATAAATGAAATTCATAACCCTTTATACAGAATAATTTGGGAAAGACATTCTCATCTTTTTGTAATGTGGCACTTTAAAAAGTTTGGTTTGATTGAAGTTTCAATTGAGCATTGAAGTGATTACAATGTCAAATGCTCTTTTATTTTGTTAGGGTAAAAGGTTCGAATACCATGGTTGCAAAGTGTATTTTTTACCTATTGAAATAATTTTTTTATGGTTGTATCACTTTCCAAAATGTAATGAATAAATTAAGAGTAAATGATGATTATGGCTATACAACATAAGAGAATTCAAGTCTGCATCGATTGGGAGGTATTGAAGAGTACCATTAGAAGCTGGACCGATTTAATATTATAGATAATTTCATGGGGTTTCACTTTGAGTTTGTAGTAGAAGAACAAAGATAATAGGAGTTTAAATTTTCAATTATTTTTTGGAGGAGAGTTTCAAAATTTCAGTTTGAGTATACACTATTTCAGTTTGGGCTAGATGATTATTTTATGTCGATCATGGCTTACATACAATAAAAGGAATCGGACTTTTTTTTTTGTTATTTAAAAAAAAAGAAAACAAATATTTATAAGGACAAAATATGATCTGTTGTTAGTAGTTTTAGAGCTTGTTTGATTTGAGGTAGATGTGTAAGTATGGGTTGTCCAAGCCATGTAGGCATGGGGGCTATATGAGTTGGACTAGCCACGTATGCATAAGGATTCAGGTTGAGTCTTGGGATATTGAGACCCATCTCGATCCAAGTCTTGTGGTTGGGATACAGATTGGCTTGATCCGTATATTTACTATGGACATATAAAAGTTCCTTTCCGAAAAAAGGACATACGGATTGAGCTGACATGCGGGCTAAAAACTTATGAGACGTTTGGTTCATAAATTAGAATTATAATATTAGAATCATTTTCGATTTACATGTATTTTTTATAAGAGAAAACACTGTAACGAACTATGAATCATGATTCGAATCGGGATACGAATCTCTCAACTAAACAACCTCTTAGAGACCGTTTAGTAAACATGTTCATATGTTTTATGTTTTGAACCTAGAAAACATAAGAATTACAGGTTTATGTTCCCTGTTTTAAAGGCTGTTCATAAACCCACAAAACTCGCAGACTCAATCTATCTCACTCCAACTTAATCTGAAAAATATAATTTCTAGTATTAAATTTATTTTTTCGGCCCATTCAATGTCTCACCTGAAGTTTTGGGACGGGGTGTGGGTTGGATCTATAATGGCCTGCACACCCCAACTCAACCCGCGCTCTAACTTGCATATTCTAATATCTAATCCTAGGCAGGCAACTCATTTCTACTATCTAGTTTCTTCATGTTTGAGTTAAGCCTCTATGTTTGCTTTATCTTAAGATTAATTTATGAGTCTAGACTAATTTATGTTTGCTTTATGTTTGATGTTGGATGGACTACTTTGCTTTATGTTTGATGTTAGATTGAAGTTTGAATTTCTATCTGTTTGAATGTTGGAGTTATTATTTCTATTTGATGATGAACTTTGAATGTTAGATTGAACTTTGAGTCTTTGATTCTTTGAATGTTGAAACTGACCACCCAACCCACCCCGTACCGCCCAAACTCAACCCAAACATCATTGGGTTGTGAAATTTTTTTAACATCGTTAGGGCCAAATATGTGCAACCCACACTCTTTGAGGCGGAGGAAGAAAAAATCATATCCCGTACCAAGCTAACCTATGAACAGCCCTACCTGTTTTCAATGTTTTGAACCAAAAACTTCAAACTTATTTACCAAACTTCAAACTTATTTACTAAATGGGCCCTTAGACCAGCCCAATTGGATTGGGTCCTTATGTGGATATATCGGGCTGAATGCCGACCCATTTGACTTGACCTGTATTAACGCGGGAAAATGAGAAAGGGGGAGAGGGGTGAACAGATTTTGGGGCGTAAGGTTGTTAAAATGATAGGGAAAATAAGAGGTAAATTAAGTATGGGATTACAAATCCTTTAAAGAATAATAAAATATTTAAGGGAGAAAGAGGAAAATAGGTCAAGACTTGAGATGAATTAAAATTAATAGGTCAATAGTTTACATAAGTTAATAAATAGGCCAAATTACTGTTTTCGTCCATAACTTGTCTGGTTATGAACCATAGCTTGACAAGTTATTGTCCGTAACTTATCTGGTTATGAACCATAACTTGATAAGGTATGACCTATTAATTTCTATAACTAAAAAATGACCTATATACTTTTCTAAACTTTTCATATTGACCTATTTCCTTTCAATATGGAGGAATTATAATAGAGAATTCATATCAAATACAGGAGAAAAGTCCTTATCCATTCCATTTCAATTTCCTCACTTAAGTTATTTTCCCCCCTTTTTTTTTTTTTTTTTTTTTTTTTTTTTATGGGCGTCGGCTCAAACGTGACACTGACTCCATCTATATTGATCGGCTGATCTTTTTTAGTCTTTGACGATTGGCTTCGATTCACCGGTTTTCTTTTACGACCCCTTACTATTTCCTTTCCCTTTCATGAAATACAACCCCAGTGAGAAAGTACAAACTACAAACTATAAACTACAAATAGCAAGAATGGTGATGTAGCTCCTGAGAATGACGCCTAAATCAAGATTATACATCTTTCTTCATTCTTATTTTTCTTTATATTCACCAATCACACAATTACGAAAGAAAAGTACTTTTCTTGTGAAGGCTTTTATTTTTTAGCCCTCTTATTCCTCAAGTTTTTCCGCACATTGTTTGTTTGTTTTTTTTTTGTTTGTTTGTTTTTTTTTTTAAGTTTAATAAGGCACCTTTTTGAATTTAACGTAGAGTTGTAGAGTCTCAAAGATTCTATCACTTCTGTGAAGTTTGAAATATATCACTTTCACAGAATAAAAAGACAATTTTACCTCAAACAACTAAATATGATTAATCACTGATTAATTGAAGTTAATGTGACAACTCATCACGGGTCGTCACAATTGTCTTAACTTTTAAATATTTACCTCTTAAAGAAAAATTCATACTGTAAAATAAACTTAAAGAAAAATCTAAAGTATTCTTCAAATCAAAACCAACATAAACCAAAGTTCCAAAATAATAAAAATTAAAATTAAAAACTTTATTTAAAATTAAGCATTTTCATTCCATGATTGTTTCTCATGGTTTCCTATCACGCATAGCTTGCATCCGCTCTAAGATTCTACATGGCTACATCTTACCCTTTAGTTCATCCGTAACATAAAATAACTTATAT